CCTCTCTCCCCCTTCCCTCCTCCTCCTCCTCCTCCTCCTCCTCTTCTTCTTCTTCTTCTTCTTCTTCTCCCTTTTCTCCTTTTCCTCCTCTTCCTTCTCCTTCTCCTCTTCTTCATCTTCCTCCCCTTCCTCCTCTTACTTCCTCTCCTTCTTTTTGAGTGAGGGTTTCTCTGTGCAGTAATCTTGGCTGTCGAACTCACTTTATAAACTAGGCTGGCCTGGAACTCACAGAGATCCACCTGCCTCTGCCTCCCAAATGCTGACATTAAAAGTGTGCACCACCACTGCCCAGCTATATGTTTCTTCTTATATAACAAGACCTTAGTGAGTTACACAATGAAACAATGAATGTTTGGAATTTCATGTCATAGTCCTTCACCCAATGCAAGTGGAAATTTACAAGCCTAATTCAACTATGTGGATTGATAACCAATGAGCACATCCTTCCTCTCAAGCACCTTGCTTTTGTTTGTTTGTTTGTTTCCTTAATGACACATTTACTGTAATCTAAAACACTGGTTATCCAATATGGCTATAGCTTAGAGTCTTCTGAGTATATTTGGAAACCACTAATGCCTGAACTCTTCACATGAGGATTTAATTTAATATGAGATATTCTTATAACCTTAGTGCTTGAAAGCTTAGACATAGGATTCCAATATGCCAGGTAGAAGAGGTCAGAAAGACACTAAATAAGGGGCCTCCTGCTTACCAACTAATAAATGCTTTTTACTTGGTTATTCCCAATTTGAGCACTGTATGGATCATAGAATTTTCTTTTTCTCTTTGAGTCATAACCTATGCCACACCAGTACTTGGATATTCACTAATCCAAGGTCATAGTATAAGGGAACTTGTCCAATCTTTCTTTGGGAAAGTTGATAGTCCCAAGGAGCCCCAAGAGTGATGCACTGCTTTCTCTTCAGGACAAGAGGCAAGACACAGTGCAGGCAAAATTAAAGCTACACAAATCCTTTAAATGTCAAGAAGTTATAGAAAATGGGAAACATTGAAGCAAGATTGGAGGTTTGGAGGATAAAGAAAACTATCTGAGAGCAAACAAATGAAAAGTGAGGTTTAAGAGATTGCTAGGAAAAGAGACAAAGCTGATATTTGCCTGTGAAAATTGGATGAGAAAAGAGTTCACTTTATGGCATGGGGTGCATTACGTACATATGTGCACATAGATGTGTAGAAAAATAAAGTAGTCAAAAACAATAAACTGTTGATTATCCAGAGCCATGTTAAAAAGCTTATAGAATTTCTGCAGTTAAATATCTTTAAAGGGTATTGCATTTGTAAAGAAAAATTTGCTGTGACTCAGAGAGTCATTGGCATATTTACAGGCAACTCAATTTTAGAGTCATAGAAACCATTTTACTTCACAGAGTGCTTCCTACAAGACAGGAGTGCTATTACTCCTTGATTGATAGAAGGAGGGCTTGTTGGTGCCTTCTCCAAAATTTTTTGCCTGGTTCATATTAGAAACTGGGGGAAAGTAAGGCTGAGCATCTCTAGGTACCTGAAGATTATAAGGAAAGAATGTCAAAAACCTTACAAGACAAATGCTATTGGCTTATAAATCAATTTCACTATGGCCACATAATTTATCTCATCATCTCTATATAATATTTTCCTTATAAACATCAGAAAAAATGTTAAAGGCAGGTGAATAAATTGAAGGTACTGTGAAACTAATGTTATTCTTTCACTTTCATGCACATTCATTGTGGAGTTAGTTGAGTATATTTGTGCTCTCATGGCCATGATTGACATAACCTAACATAAATAGGAATTGACCATTTCCTCACAATCTGTGACTGAGTATTTTTTTTATCTGTTTGTTTTAGCCTAACACCAAGGGTGTAGAAGATATGTTTAAGGACCATAAATAATTGATAATAACAAAATAGCAATATTCCACATGGCTGTTTGAATTATGAATATGTGTGTGAGTCTCCATCATGTATACATTCCATTTCTTCTGTAGGGCTGGGTTTCTTGCAATCTGGACAAAGGGACAAGTACTTTATTACTAAGCTATGATCTAATTGCTAATTTTCTTTTATATGTTAAGACAGAGAAATACAGACAGACAGGCACATGTGTGGCATGCATGCACACACACACACACACACACACACACACACACACGGCAGGGGGCTTTGAAATCTTCATATTTTTTGCTGTAAATAGCTAATATTCTATATTTTATGCAAGCATCTGGCTATGTAGTAGGGGATGAGCCTTACTGTAGCCTCTGTAGATAGGAAATGACACAGCATTAAGAAATAGTAGATTATTTTGTTTGTTTTCGCCTGCATTGATGTTAAAAGTGAAGTTGATTAAAACCATCACAGAGTTGGAGAACCTTTTTCCAGCCTTCCCTAGACATTCTCATCTTATCCTTCACTCACAGAAGCTTGAGTAATTTCCCACAATTTCTAAAAGAAACTTACCCATTGACGGTGACATTAGAAAGTAATTTCTTTGATCACTGGAGCATTATAGTAGCAGCTAAAAAGAGAAAGAGGGAGACAGGTAAAATAACAATATGAATGGCTTAAAAGGCCACAAAGAATCATACTGTTAGCTATTACCTCCCCCCCCAAAAAAAAAGGGAAAAAGGAAAAGAAAAGAAAAACCTTAAAATGCATGTAGCTCAGAGTATAAATATACACATATAGTTCTACCAAACTTTCTCATCTGGGCTGATAGCACTCCCTCCAATTGCAAAAGACCACCTGTCCCAAACCCCAATACTATACATGAGAAGTACCCTCTTTAGAGTTTTCCAGGGCTATCCAAGAGGCTCCCAAAATATGCATTCTATTGCTACTGTCCTTTGTTAGTCCAGGGGTAAAAGGTAAGTTCCTATTCCTGAAGATATCATGCACTTCAGAAACAAAGTTCAGAGCCTCCAGAGCTGGACCTGACCTGAATGCCCGCTACTGGAGGACTAACTTTTATGGTACCAGAGGGAGTTGTGCAAGCTTCCAAACGACTGAGACAACCAACTGCCCTACTCAACTATGAACCTAATCAACAACCAACGTGCTACCAATGGGTGCAGTAGTAGTACACATACTTTGGAAGCAATCAGCTGCTCGCTACTTGGACTTAAGACCCACTCAACAAGAGGGAAGCTATGGTTGGTACTAGAAATCTAGCTAACTACCCAGTGCTAGTGAAGTCATGGTTATTAGAGGGGAATTTACAACCAATAACCTGCTAAACCATGATAATCTCCAACAACAATCTATAAACATCTGTTCTTATGCCCACAGGTAAGTGTAGTTTTTACCCCTCATCAAAAACACATATACAAGTAATATTATATGGACTCAACAAGTTATAGTTATGAATATATAGGTAAGTATACACACACACACACACATGAATATATGTACATGAATATATGTAATAACAGTTGATGAAAAGGGGCTATGGATGTGAAAGGGTGTTGGGAGGAGGGGAGAAGCCATATGAGAGGGCTTGGAGGGAGGAGAGGGAAGGGGGGATGCTTTTAATTGAAATATAATTCCAAAACAGACAAAATAATAGAAAGCAACAAAATGACCAACTGTTAGAAAATATTTTTTAAACCCTGCAGTATATTCATTTTAGTAGGGGGCTAGTATGTATTTATTATAGATAATGAAGTAAATCCATTTTTGTCTGATAACAGAGAACTTTGTACAAGATATATATGTATATGTATATATATATATTACTTAACTAAAAAATTAGATGAAAATTTCTATAAGTAAAAAGTCAATCTATAGGGCTAAATTTCAATGCCTGAATGCCTAAGGGTGCTTGATCTCTAAATATTATATTTTTACTGAAAATTAATATCTACAAAGGCACAAAATTTCATTTATTTTTTGGTCCACCAAGAATGATATAAAGTGATTTCATCCTTTAAGTTTTGGTAATGTCTATTATTACTCACTGGCCATACAAGACATCATTCTTTCACATATTTTGCCTACTGGTCCAAGATTTTACAAATTGACCCAGCCTTATTCATGGTAGTAATATATATGTGAAATAAGGTAGTTTTAAAAAATTCTTTTATTGACGTTGAATTCATTTTATATATTTTGGCAGGTCTCTGAGGATGGTTCTCATATACTCCATCATCAGTGTTAATTGGTGTGCATCCCAAGAACCTATTTGCCACCCTCCAATCTTGAAGTCAGGCTAAATTGCGTAATTACTCTAGAGATGCGTTTACCTTTAAGAAGATCTAATCAGTCAATAGACTGAAGAGTGCCTCTGATTTTTATACAGTGCAAAGTGAAAAGTTTATTAGATGACGGATGTATAACCACAAGGTGGAAGGCAGGCTGTGCTTCCAAACATTTGACCTCTTTTTCAAATAGGAAACAGGAACAACATCTGTTTGCCATGGCACGATGCCGTTGGCAAGTGATCTTTCCAGGTTAATTATTGGATGATGTGCAGCTCTTCCGTAATTTGACAGTTCTTCATGATGAGAGCTTCAAGTAGGCAGATGTTCCCCTATGGAATCAGAAGAGAATGGTGACAACTTCATTGCATACTGACAAGATGTCACACACCCTGTTTTTATAGACTTGGAAGATGAGCTCAAAAGTTCTTGAGTGTAATATTGGTTATTTGTGGGACATAGAAAGGAACGATATTAGAAAATGTCACTAATATCTCTGGCAATTAGAACATCAAACATTGCAGCTTAAATGTTTACCCAGGATAGGAATCTAGAGGTAACACTTGTAAGAGATATCCTGAGGATGAAAAATATAGATTTATTTTCAGTACATTTTTGGAAATATACCGGATTTCTACAGCAGTAGATCTTAACTACATTCCTACTGAGTAATATTATTACCATTAGCTGTTTGCCAGTAGCTACTGGCATAATTTTCTTTTTCTACTGCTCACTGGACCCAAGCCTACTCAATTTAGTGTAGTTGGCTGTAGTACCTCTCACTTTCTTAAAATGCAGGGCTTTTCAATTTAAAGAATGTTTATGGTATCAGAGTAATTTGAAACAGGTGTTTAAGCCTCACATCTATGCTGTGCAACAGAAGGTTTATATATTTTTCATTATATAGAGAGATAGACCACAGTACTTGAAATGACCATCTGTCATCAAATACATGCTGTGTGCTGAATGTAAGAGAAATAATGTTTCGATGCAAAATCCTTTGAAAGTAACAAGATGTACTCCCAATACCTTCTGTCTCTTTTCTTGTCACTGAATTGGATAAAAACAAAAGAATTATTTTGTTTTCTTGCTTTCAGAGTATCACCAATGAGAGAACCCTAGAATATTGCATGATGTTTTTGCTTGGTTTGGCTTATAAAACTGTAAGCCGTATATTTGAGAGAACAGTTAGTCCATGGATTTCCCCCAGAAGGGTGATATGTAAGCCTATATATTTTCTTTCTTGTTTTTCATCAATAAGTAGTCTGGATCTTAAATACTAGTACTCTTTGGAAGAATCTTGACTCTCAAGTTATAGCCTATTTATGTGCCCAAAGGGACGCCCAAAAGGTATTTGTGAATCTGGCAGGAGAGAAATGGCAAATTGTCCATCAGAAAGGAGCAGCTCCTAGATCTACTGATGACAGCTCTACAGAAATGCAGGACAATCACCGTCAACTCCATCAGTCTTTCACAATAAACTAGAAATCTGAACATTTACACACCTTCTCCTAATACTCCAATATTTACATCACATCCAAACAAACAATAAAAACTATGTGGATCAAACAACTGAAAATGTGGTCAGAGGTATACCAGTTTAGAACTTACTGCTCTAGCCTTTGAGAACTGCCTTCAGAGCTGAAGAGACAGACTCTGTTGCAGCAGGAGTGATCTCACCTGGTTTTCTCTCATCGGTGATTACTAGTGATAGTGGTGCTGATGCCAATATGCTTCTCTTGTTGCTTAACTGGTAACCAACGATGTTGTGTTCACATTTGTTATTTTCATAGAATTTTCACATTGGAACACAATTTGGAAGAAAAATGAACAAGATAAAGATGGAGATGATCCTTGAACTAAACATGGAGTCACTGATGAGGAATTTTGCAGACTACTAAAGAATATGTCATTTTAAAGGTGATCAGAAAAAACATTTCCCCCACTCTAAGAGTTTTCTTGTTGATGAGATAAAATATGTGACAAAAACAACTTATGAGAGAGAAGGTTTGTAGGGTGAGGAAAGGGCCAGTGCAGGAGGATGAGTCTGTCTGAAGTCATGAGGCAGGCACCCTCCTCAAGTGGTTTTCTCTTCCCCTTTTATTCAGTCCAGCCCTCCAACCCACCAGACAGAGTCACTTTTGTCCAAGATAGGTCTTCTCTTTCTAGTTAAAATCTTCACAAATTCCTTTAAAGACACATTTAGAGATATGTTTCCCAGGTGATTTCAAATCAAGTGATATTGATAGTGAAGATAATGATCACAGACATCGTATATTTTAAATTTTTATAAGCACTTTCTATATTGGGCACTTTCCCATTTTCTTGTATGTGTGTCTAGAAGGTACCAAACAGTATTTTAGGAGAACATGTAGTGAAGAAAATTCAGAAAATAATTGCTTTATTGGAGCTATGGTTGAGAAATAGATGGCAATTAAAGTATATAGTACCTTATAAGGACCACAAAGAGAATAATGTAGAAACAGATACAGAGAGTAAAAGAGGAAGCTTGAGCAACTGGATTGAGGGCTTGTCATTGCTGGGATAAGAAAAGAATGAAGGAGAAATAGATTAGGAGAGGAAGAATGGGAATGCATTCTTGGCTGGATCCTATTAGACATTCCGTGATGGTGTGAGATGGAGAGGAGAATGGGAAGGGAGAGCTCAGCTGCCCCTGAGAGTGAATGTATGATATGTGAAATTGTATGACTGAAGGCTAGAGAGATAGATCAGTGCAGGGGCATTCACCACCCAACTATGAGAACCAGAGACTGGATCTACAGCACTCAAAAGTTGGATGGGCAAGGAGGACTGCTTTAAGTTCAGCACTCAAAATTAGCCAGTTGGTAAGTGCTGGGCTCAGAGGGAGACTATGGTCTCATAAGGCAGGCATTCAGCATTGCCATCATACACACACACACACACACACACACACACACACACACACACACACCACATACCTTTGTACTCTTACACATGCAAACACACACTCTCACAGATGCACACACTCTCACAAACACACTTTCACACACACTTTCTCTCGCACAAATGCATGTGCACACAGACTCATTCTCTCACACGTGTGTGCATATGCACACTACCTCTTTCTTACTCATACATACACATGCACACACATGTGTGCACAGACACTGTGTCTCACACATACACTCTATTTCTCTCTCACACACACATTCTTTCCTCCCAGACACATACTCTCTAACACACACTCACACACACATGCACACTGATTCTACAAGCTCAGAAATTAGGCAGTGCTGGTGAAAGTGCTGTGACCATGTTTATCATACACTAAATGGAGAGCAGAGGAATGACTCAGATGTTTTGATGCTTTGTCCTGATGATCCAGGGTCAGAAAACAAGAGCACCAGGGGTTGGATGAGCAGCAAGGGAACTGGAGCTCAGAAGTCAACACTCACTAGATAATAGTTTACCAAAGCCAATCCACAGCCAAAGCATGGCTGACGAGGGAACTGATTTAGTATGGTTGTTTGTGTACTCGAAGTACTGGAGATGGAATGGTCTGTAGTTTATTCCTAAGCAATTGCAGGGACCATCGTAGCGGATATGTCACTCAGAATGGTGTTGATCATACTACAGAGTTTTTCTGCCAAATAAGCATAAAACCAACCCTAAATCAATGGGCAACCATCAAACCATGTCCACTGCAAGCATGACAATCTGTTCAAACTGACCTGTACATCTGTTGAGTTGTGTGATGGAGACAAGGAAGCATTTACATGCTTTCGCCTGTCACTTAGCAGGACTTGAATCAGGACTTAGAAAGTGCATGCAGTTGTATACAGCTAATGAAGTAGATACATGATGCATTTATGGACACAGCTCACTCCAGTGCTAGTATTTTATATGTATTTTATAAGTCTTTTCATTTTTTCTAAGATAATTACTGAAGGAACAAGGTAGTTTGATTTTCAATGTTGTAAATAGCTGTTTGCAAAGGTGGCCATTCACCGAAGCAATGTTAACTTCAATACCCAATCCTTGAAAAATCTGTGATTGTGAGGGGCTTTTTCATCCTCCTTGGTGTGCCCTGCACATAGAGCATCCTTGGTCAGAAGTAGCAGAAAAATCTCAGCAGTAGTGATTTTGAGGCTCACTTGACACAAGGGAGCCATTTTCCTAATTGCCCCACCCACACAGTTGCTGAAAATTGAGTATTTCATGCTTCTCGACACATTCTATATCCTTTTCCCTGATATCCAGGCCTGGTGTACTGGATTCAGGTCTGAGGCTTTGCTGTGCCCCATGTGGAGTGATGACAGTTTCCATCCGCTCTCTTGCTTGGAGAACCTGGCTCAGCACAAAGAAGAGCTCTGCACTGGTTTCTTTGGCTTAGCACAGATAGCCCTCCTTTCATTTCAGGGTGAGAAGCTCTCTTCTTTCGGTCAAGGTTTTTCTCCTCTTCAGAAAATATGATCGTAGAAGTTTGGAAGACTTTTCCTGATTGCTAAATGAAGAATTTTCTCAGCAATATAGGTAACATGTCTAGAATGACTTTTATATAAAACAATATAATATCTTGATTGCACTTTTACTTTATTCTACTACCAAATGGCAGTTCCTGAAATTTTCTTTAAATTTTTTAAATTACATATTTGTGTGTGTGTGTGTGTGTGTGTGTGTGTGTGTGTGTGTGTGTGTGTGTAGGATCTCCACACACCTTTTTTTTCTATACCTAAAAAGTGGCATTTATCATGTGTGTGTGCACATGCAGGTGTGTTACATGCCCATGGAGGTCAGAGGACAACTTGTATGGATTTTCTGTCTACTGTGTAAATCAGAGGGAACTGAACTTGTGTCCTTAGCCTTGCTGGAAGAGACTTTATCTCTTGAGTCATCTCACCCATCATGGCAATAGTGACTAGAAACAAGACTTACCTGGGAATGAATCAATGACTTAGGAAAAGTAGTTTTCCCTCCACTGTTGCCTTGTGCTCCATGCCACTCTCTTTGGGCCATTATTACAACATCTTTGAGGATCAGTCTCAATTACAACTTAGGACAATAAACAACAAATATAAAGTAAATGATCATAATGTAAAGTTATGATTATTCATGAGTCAAAAGCTAAAACTCACCAACGTTCAAGCTAATTACCTAAGTTTAAGGAAAGTCATTCATTATTGGAAGTTGAGACTTGCCATGTTAAACCAGACAACAACACAGAGAATGGCCTGATTTTGAACGACTGAAAGTCTCCTGGGAAAATAAATGAACTTGTTGTACAGGTGAGAGAAACTGACCCTTACTTGGAATCATGCTATATTTTTATGAGAAGGTAGTTTTGTGTTACTGATACTTTGAGAATCTGCCCTCCCCCACTGGTACAGTCTTAGTTTATGTTAGGAATGGAGCATAGTTTTAATTACAGTGAAAATCTTCTTCAACACAATATTTCAATAGGGAACACTGATTTATTTTGGCTTATGGTTTAAGTGGGTATGTTAATCATGGTGGAGAAGACACAGTAGATGAAAAGCTTATATATCTGGGACACTGGAAGCATGAGGTGGTTGGTGACTTTGCATTGGCAGTCATGAAGCAGTGTGTAGTCTGGACTAGAGTCAGGGTATTCCCATAAATCCTGCCTATAATTGGCCCTATGTCTACTAGCAAGACCCTGTATCTAAAAGGGTCTACAGACTCCTTAAACAGTGCCCGTAGATGGTGACCAGGCATTCAAGGCCATGAAGCTGTGGGGAGCATTTTATGTTGAAACCACAGTGTTGTATTCTCATCCTCCAAAACAGCTCCACTACTGTTCAAAAGTCCAAAATATTTTCTGAGACTCAAAGTGATCTCTTAACTGTGAGGTCCAATAAAATAAAAAATAAAGTTGTATGCTTCCAACATACTGTGCTACAGAGTAAACATTCTCACTATAAAAAGGAAGAATGAGTATAGCAAGAAAAGAGCAAATCCAGTATTGCAACCAGCTAACCTTGTAGCTCATGTCTGGCTCCTGGAAGTCATGATAGCATTCTCTACACTCCCAACAGATTTGAGTAATATTGTCCCTGCTACAAGTCCTGTGGTGGGCCACCTATGGTTTCTTTCTTAGGCTTAATCAACTTGGTCTTTGCAGATTTCCTCAGTAGACATCATATATTCCTGGTATCCCAACATCTTTGACTCTCCATTACAATTTGGATTTTACATTCATTGCCTCACATACAACCCCAAGCATGGTTCATATTGCCTGATCTAAGCAAATTTCTGGAATGTTGGTGTAAGTTTCTATGACTCTGTAATTCTTGTGTTCTGCATGCCTCCAAAACCAGTGCTATGTGAGCAAAGAAGCCAAGTTCTCCAAGATGCTCAAGAGGTAGCTTATGACTAGTGAGGTGGCTTAGGGGGTAGAGGTACCTATTGACAAGCTTGATGACCTGAGTTGGGCATGGTGGAAGGAGAGAAACAACTTCCATATGTGCACCAACACCACGGCTCACTCCTTTCAAAAATATATGAATGAATGAATGAATGAATGAAATGTAGCCTTTCCCACCCCTCCCAGACTATGTATATAGTGGCCAAGTGTTGTGCAGTTGAACTTGGGAAAACATTTCCTTAGGCAGCTATTTTCAAGCAGGGAGTCACCATGGAAGTAATCTTTGGACTCTTACAGGCACTCTCCTTTCCAATGAATGTTTTCCAGATGGGTTTTTAGTTTTACAACTTGGAGCTTGTGATGAGTGGGTTCTTGCTCACAAGGCACAATTCTTATTGTTGTGATGTCAAATGTGCTGGCTTTTAGCTTTCTACTTTAATAAGTATAGATGCTGTCTATAGCACCTTGCAAGCTCTGCCTACAACTTTAACCACATTCTTGTTCCTTTCCTAGGAAAATGCACATTTTCCTTTTCCTCCTTCATGTTTTGCTCTTTCATTATAACATAGACACAAATCACACCAGTGCCTGAATGCTGTGTTGTCTTGAAATGTCCTCTACCAAACAAATTAGTCTACTACTTTAGAATTCAGACACTGAAATTTTCAGGATATGGAAAATTATAGCCAGATGCTCTGCTAGACTGTAACATGAGTAGGTGACCCCTTGTTAATTCTTGATAAAGTCTTTATTCCTCTTTGAAATCTCATGAGCAAAAAATGTGTCTATTGAGCACTTAATAGTCATCTGGTCCAAACTAAATATGCTTTACATATATTACTGCTTGCATTTCTATTAATATTCTTTTCCTCCCCACTTTCATCTGAGGGAACATTAACCTCTGCTTACCGCATTCTAGGATTTCTTTAACAGGATCTCCAAACTTTTCCATTTTCCTCTAACAAACCAATTCCAAAGCCAGTCTTTGAGCTTCCCCTCTGCTGCTCTGACAAACACCAGGACCAAAAGAACTTAGAGGAGGAACGGGCATATTTGGCTTACTCTTTGAGAACACACTCCATCATAGAGATAAGTCAGTGTAGGAATTTAGCCAAAATATGAAGCAGAAAACATGGAGAAATGCTGCTTGCTGGCTCACTCACTCACTCATGTTTAGTTAGCTTTCTAAATATGGCACAGGACCACTTGCTTATGGATGGTATTGTCCAGAGCAGGCTGGGTCAGCCTCCCCAATTAAGAATCAGGACAACACAGACATATCCATAGCCCAATCTGATCTGGGCAGTTTCTCAATGGAGACTTCCTTCTAAGGTGACCCTAGGTTATGTCAAGTTGACAGTTAAAGCTGTCTCAGACAGCCACTTAACATGGGACCTACATGTCAGAGGCTTAGGTTTGTCACAGCAACAGCCCTACATTTTGCTATCATGTGGAAACATTGGTTACTTTTCTTTTTGGTTGGGAGTAAATAACTGAAAGAAGCAACTGAAGGAGGGAAGAGTTTATTTTAACTTAAGGTTTGAATAGTTGCACTCTATCCTAATGGGAAAAGTATCTCAGTGAGACCAGATTGGGACTAGGCCACAGGAACACTCACTGGCAGTCAGGAAACAGAGATGAAACCCTCTGTGACTTTTGGCTTTATGTTGTGTTAGAATCCAGACCAGTTGCTCCTGAAGTCCTGCCCATCTGCAGCTCTGTCTCTCTCCACTTTCATAGTTGATTCTCCATACAAGCCCCAGTCTAAGAGGTTTTCATTATAAAGGGCTACCAGTGGCACTCCCCACATGATGGAAACACATTCATTAAATGGGCCTTTCTCCATCCATCCCATCCTGTCCCCCAGGCCACCTCTCCCCTCGCCTTGCAACCTAGGATGAGAGAGAGCCTGATGATACAAGTTCGTCCTATAGACTACTCATCAACCAAGTGATATGAAACCTCCCTCTTCCCTCAGAAACCTATAGGATGGGACTCTCACTCTGAGACATATGCCTGAATTCATCCCAAGGCCCTTAAAATGCTGTCTGTCTGTCTCTCTGTTTATATACCCAATAATTCTAATAAATTTCATGCCCCAAAGGATAATCTCCCTTAGTGATCCTTTTGAACTTCAAACCCAAAACCTTTCACCTTGTTCAATATCAAATTTGCTTTAAACATGCAGTTTTGGCTTGTGAATTCTATGGCTTTACTTTGTGTGTTCCTTTTCATTTCTAATTACACTAACAAAATAGTCTTCATTTATACACATGAATGTTATTTCACCATTAGGGCTACTTATCTGGGTTTATTGTCCTGCATCTTTCCAGAGAAGTCAATATATCCCCTTTATATATTTTTAATGTAAAGGCTATTAATAATTTTTTCATATTAGGACTGGAATATACCATGCATATTTTATATTTGATCTGTTTGTTTTTTGTGACAAGGTCTCACTATGTATCCTGGTTAGCCTGGAACTGGCTACACAGACCAGGCTGGCCTTGAGTTTGCAGAGATTCACCTGCCTCTGTCTCCTGTGCTGGAATTAAAGGCATGGTCTTTTATGTCTGGCAAGCATATTTTATATTTGTAATACACTCAGTTTGGACGAGGTGCAATTTAAGTATTCAATAGCCACACATGGCCCATGATCAAAGTATGAAGAACAGACTTCTGGAAAGATAATACTGGAACCGTATTTACATGGTGTTCTCTCTTTCTCTCAGCAACCCCTCAGCTCTTACTGTACTCTCTCTATATATATATATCTTGCCTTGTTATTTATTATCTGTCTTCCTCACTAGTTGTAAAATCCATAATATTTATGATGACTTGTCTGTATTGTTTATCACATCCTAGGAATAGTCTCCGAACTAAACTGGAGAACAAGAATAATGTGTTTTTAGCCAGACATCATTGTATATGACTGTAATTTCAGCACTCAGAAGGTAGATGCAGGAGGATTAGGAGTTCAAGGTCATCCTAAGACACACAGCCAGTCCAAAGTCAAGTTGGGCTACAGGAGACCCTGTTTAAACTCCCACATCAGTTAAAAATAAATATTTAAAGGATAAAGGAATGTTTAATTTCTCTAATATGTCAGTATGAAAACTAAAATCACCCAGACAACTACTGGGTTCGGGGAGTGAGCTAAGGCTAAATATCTCATTATTTAAAAATAAAATTTCAAAATTAAAACACTAGTTTTGCAGAGAATACATTAAGTACTTTTGTGGTTATAATGTAGACTCTCTCATCTCTACAGATCTATGTCATAAAGGCTTCAATTATTAATAATAGAAGCCCACATATTCTAAAGTTTATGTAGTTCAGCTGCCTTTTATTTTGAATTCTGAAGAAGTGATCACAAGGCATAGAATAAATTAGAGTCAGAGATAATGGATTAAAAAACTGAGATATCTGAACTCTTAATATATGATTTCTATATCAAATCACAGTGACATGTATGTGTGTGCTTACATAGAAATGGGCAGGTACACAAGCAGTAAGTCTGACATTAATATAAATCTCTGAGTGCTGTATTTATATGTGTATATACTCAAATATATGAACTATGTTGTAAGCTACCTGTTATTACATTTGCATTTAGTACTAATTTTCTTATTTATATTCATGTCAATTCATTTTTTGGGCCAGACAGCTCTTTATTAAGCAATGAATGTAATACATATTTACAGTGTACAATGATTGTCCCACAGCAATCACAATTTTGTTAATCCCTTGCACAGATAAATTGGCTCTGGTAGTGATTATGGAAGCTATAACAGTCTTCTATAGGTTGAGAAACTTAATGGTCAATTCATTTTGATACTATTCTACTGTAACAAACATGGATACCTTTTTAAATTCTGTAAATAGGGATTTTCCATTTTAGTATTATTTAATATAAGGAGGCATGTACTTGGCTCACTTAATCAATATTGCTATTACATAGATATTTTTCAATAACTGGTTTCAGAAATATATGTGTCAAGTACATTTTATCGGAAGGTTTAATGAGTTCAAGTAAATTTGCAGTATTAGCTCTAACACAAACCCAAGTTTCCTCTAGAAGCTTTTCCCAACCTAAGCTATGTTTTTTTTAAACAATCATGATAAGAGAGTAAATAATTTGTAGCTCAACTGTTGAGCTTCTTTTGACCTTTTATCTGACTTAAGTGATTGTTTTTTAATGGGAGTCCTTTGGAGGAATCAGTTGCCTTGATTCTCTAAATGGTTTTTATCTCAGTGTAGGTGGAGCTGGGCTCACAAGGCTTATTCAGGTCAGATGGCTTTGAAAAGCATTAGTGACCTGAGGACGGGTTCAGCGGTTTGCTGTTTTGGCCCAAACCTACTTTTCCACAGGTAAGCACTCTAGGCTTTACATCATTCTTGCAGTACTCATTCTGAATACGTGATTTCTTCTAGTGATACCCTAGAATGGTAGAAGTGAAATTGGAAATGTAAACACCAAGATGCTAGAAATGGTCAAACCCACTAGTTTGATTACTCTCATTTCAAAACTCGTTTTAGAAGGTGCAAACTTTTATCATAGGTAAACACCTTTTAGTTTTTAAAATTACATGAAGTTTCAGGAGTAATTTTAATTGTTAAAAACAAATAAAAAATTCCCAAATGAGAAATATTATGATGGGCATTGTGTAGATGGGATATGTAAATAAGGAGCTGATACAAATAACTGGCACCATTAAGGTGAGATATTCATCTATTACTAAAAGAATTTAGTAAGACAAATTTATTCCCAAAATGATGGGCCACAAAGGGAGTGACGATGGGGGGTTTACTAGCAGACATAGGTACATTGAAGATTGAGGGGTTACTAGAATTTCATGTCACATAGATGCATTATACAAGAGAGAGTACGTATATATGCATTAAAAGAATAAATAGAAGAATTGTGGTAGAAATATCTTATTGCATTTCATTGGTGAGAGTAGCCCTGAAAACTGTCCGGTTAGAGGGTGAATATCATTGTGAGCCAAGTCTGGAAAGAGGGATAGAGGCTGGTAGTGAGGTGAATGAATACCATTTCCTCAGATGTTATTTAGTAGGCTGCTGAATAATGCTGGTACACTCTGCACTGATCCACTCTGTTATTTATGGTGTTGCTCTGTTTTCCTGACATGTCCTTATGATTCCATCTTGCTCAGAGGATCTCAGGAGTATAAATAACTCTTAATAATGATTGGGGAAAAGATATAAAGGAAAGATAGAGGTCATATCAAGCTTATAAGGGAATTTACATCTAACCTTGTCACCAATTTGGTTATTTGGTTTATATATAGAAAAGATGTTTGGGTTTGACCAAGAAGATAAATTTGACAGGAATAAATGTATAGTCCTGTATTTAGTTCATAAAAGTCACTTGCAAGGTGTAGGATAGATTTTATAGTAAACAGTGGAATAGAAAAATTTATTTGACTGTAAACTAGACAAGAGTAATATGGCTCAAAATGTATAGCAACAATACGTACAGTTGGACCTACAGGGGGCAGGCATGTTAACTGAAGTGAGAATTATATTCTAGATGAATTGATAAAACAGCCCAAATTAGCTAGAACATTAAAAACTATCTAAGTACTATATTCACATATAATTCTAGTGATACTTGTAGTTGAGTTTTAGAACTCCTTGACATTGATCTATCTGATTTAGTTATACCTGCCAAAGAAGAGAGACATGCAGATCACATCAAAATACTCCAGGGATGTGAATGAATACTTCTAAGCCATGACTTCTGACAGTTTTGGAATGAGGCAATGCCTTCATTTACATTCTCTCTGGATGCCTGACAGTTGACATGCTATTTAGCTTTTGATGTGTTGTTGGTCATGATCACATAAACGAGAGATATAAATTCTGATGAGGCAGAAATGATTATGAAAACCTACTTATAAAATATCTTTCTTATCTTCCTCTACAGACTGTTGGAAGAACTCACGGGAACCTTTTGTACAGTATGATACGTAAAAAAACGACTTACAAGGATTAGTGGTTGCTAACAGACCTTGTGTCTCCACTCCTCTGTCTCTTTTTCAGCTTTGGACAGTTAGTAAGGTTGCAGGCTGAAGCTACATGCTTACATGTAGCTACATGCTCATCCTTCAGAAATTATTCTTCCTTCATTAGTATTACTTGCAAACAGACACAAGCATTTAGTGTTTCTGAGTGATCCAGAGATTATCTACACTCAGGGTGGTTCTAAAGCAATAAAACTGATCTCAGACTCACTGGTTTCAATGTCTACAGTTTGGATTAAGTGATCTGTCGATTCAATAAACTGTCACTTGTCTTAATCCCCAGGAGATAGTTGATAACATCTGTAGATATTTTGGATGTTAGAGCTGTGGTAGGGAAGTGGTAGTGGATGTATGTCACTTGCTTGCTGTGGATAGAGGTTGGGATGTTGCAAGTCAGTATAACCCCCAAATTGCTAATTGTGCTGTATTTGAGAATCTTGTGTCTCAGGATAGTTTGAAAAACATCTCTCTTTCTAGGGGCAAGTGTCTGTCTCTCTATTTGCTCAGTCATTCTAATTCTTTTCAAAATTTATTTATTTTTATTTTATTTTTTTGGCGGTATACACCTTTAATTCTTTTTTTTCCCTTATATTTTATTTTACAATACCATTCAGTTCTGCCTATCAGCCATGGATTCCTTTGTTCTCCCCCCTCCTGCCCCCCTCCCCTTTCCCTTCCCCCCAGCCCATCCCCCATTCCCACCTCCTCCAGGGCAAAATGATCCCGGAGGACTGATATCAATCTGGTAGACTCAGTCCAGGCAGGTCCAGGCCACTCCTCCCAGATTGAGCCAAGCGTCCCTACATAAGCCCTAGGTTTCAAACAGCCAACTCATGCAATGAGCACAGGACCTGGTACCACTGCCTAGATGCCTCCCAAACAGACCAAGCCAATCAAGTGTCTCACCTATTCAGAGGGCCTGATCCAGTTGGGGACCCCTCAGCCTTTGGTTCATAGTTCATGTGTTTCCATTCGTTTGGCTAAAAAGATGTAACAAGTTAAATATGATGCCAGAATTGGGATTAGTTACTGTAGACTCAATTGTGGATATCTTCAAGTAAAGTTTCTCCAGTTTTAAGTAAATTCTCCCATTGAATGGATAATAATCAGGATGAGATTTCTACCTAGATTATGCTTGTTTCTTTAACCCATTGAAGAGCTTTATTAATTTGTACTGGATGAGAAGTTAATCTGACATTAATAAGAGTCAGACTTAAAGAACATTTAAAACATATAATTCAATTTTATTATGTTCAAGAACACAGTCCTGTTTTGTTAGTGGAGTTCAAGGAGAGAAAGTTAGATTATGCATCTTTAGAAACTTATTTTTCGGCATACAAAACATTCACTTATAATTAGCTGTTCATTGTTTTGAGTACAAACTGTGCTGTTAAAATGGTGCTTGAAGCGGTGCTAACATTCACTTGCTCATCAGTAGAAGCAGTACTTTCTTCTTTGCACTATTGATTTGCTAACGAATCTGTTTTATATTATAATGGTATGAGTGCAAAGCCTGCCCAGCACTTCTAAAATACAATAAATCCTCAGAGTCCTTAAAGATGGGACACAACACCCTATTTATTCACTCTGCTCTCATTAAGCAGAGAGATTCCTATAATATGGCAATCACCCTTGTAACATGTTTAAGTTGTGATTTAAATTTAGCTTTATAAGGCACCTCCAGCAGATGTTTGAGCTTCTAACGCTATCTGTGGTGACTTTCACTTCTGCCCGACAAGCCTGGAATCTCTAATGAAAGTTTTTCAAAATAATAAGTCAGAGAAGAAGCACTAGAATAACCTGGAAGGTAGAAATTAAAGTGATTTTGGCTAATGCATCAGGTTAGAGAGTGCTCTAGTTACTGACTGCAGCCATTAGGTATTCCCCTCATGAAGGAAAGCCAGCTATTGATTTTTGAATTTGAATTTCTCTCAAAATAATTGATTTTTTTTTCTGCCATAGATACTTATCTCAGCTTATAAAACCCAGTGGAAGGGAAACCCCTCCTATTCTAGCAGCTGCCCGGTGTTTCGAATGATTTCCTTACACTTGCTAAGCCAGAAATGAGTCACATATAGTATCGATAAAACACATACTATTAATGAATCCATTGTGTATACATGTAGTGACAGTGTAACTCAGCCACAGCTAATGATGGATAAATTTACTTTAAATAAAGCATTTCCAAAATTTAGTTATTAGAATTTGTCTTCTGATTCTGTATTCTTACTTTTTTTCTTACACCACTCACAATGAAAAATGCACATAGAATATTGACTTAAAAGTAAATATGAGCTATATGAAAGAAATTAACACATGTATTGACCACTATCATTTTATTAATGTATTAGAGTAAGAACTATCATATGGATAAATTGAGAACTTTATTGAAGTTGGATCTTGGATGACAATGTCAAATAAGTAAAATGCACATGATTATGGAAATGTAATAACTTATTTTATCTGAAGTATTTTATAACAGTCCCAACTGGAACTTTGGAATTCAGTGCAGCACCAGTGTTAGCTACTTAGAGCCAGTACTAGAAGCTTCAGATTAAAGGGCAGGACTTCCAATAAGTCTTCCCTTGCTTACTTCAGACAATAGCTATAGGTTCCATGACATCTCCAGAGCAGCCACATTCTCTGTCAATTAGCCATCACTTAGAGATGTTTTGTCAGTTAAATGTAGGTTTGTGTGATAATTCCTTAGAACTAATTGTCTCACAGATCACAGGGCAGTTCTATTATTATGAGTAAAGTTTTCTTTTAGATAATAGAATTACAACAAAGCCTGGAGACTGTAGATATGAGCTTCTAGTGGCTGGGGTGTTTTTATAACATTGTGTATTAACCAACCAGGAAGTCCCATTGAACTTCAGTGTGTGGAGCTGAGGCTAGGGATGTGTTACAAGAGATGGATGAAACTGCTCCTACATGATTTAAATTCTTCATGCCCTCCACCCCCAGGGAGAGAAGCCTTCTGAGTACATACTTGGTCTTTGGTTGGACAGCCTCCATACTCAAGCTGTCGAGGAGTCGGCCCATTCTTACAACAACAGCATTCCCATCTCTAAGGAAATTTCAAGCAGTTTGAAACTCCTTGTCATAAGCTCAAGGTAAAAATTAAATAATTCTTTTACTCTGTCCCAAGGAAATACTAAAAACAAACAAATTAGATTTAGTGGATTTTTATTGTATACTTAAAATATGCTAGTTACCATTTTAACCATAAACCAATTAAAGTATCTACCTGTAAGAACCTCACTATAATGGAAGGCTTGAAGTAGGTAGGGAGCATTGATAGTAACCAAGTAAGGCAATAACTAGCAGAGAGAATTTCAAAACACTGGAAGAGTTATGCAGACATACCAAATAGGAGGGACCAGGGGGGAGGCTAGAAATTTGAAGAAGGTGATGGTCTACTTGAGAAATCTGTGGAGTGAGGGGGTGAGTGTGTGAGTGATGGGAATATTTGACAGAAAATGGCTCCAAGAATGGAGAATAATTCTTGAGACAAGAGAATGTTTAAATTTTGGTATAATATCGAAGAACAGGATGTTTTAAGTGGCTTTTTTAAAAATGTGGACTGAATTCATAGAAAGGTTAGAGTAAGGTCTTAGAATAAAATCAGTATGCTTTAAAATAATCACAATAGAAGGAGATCTTGCTATTTCAAAGGCACTGAAGATCTTCTAATAACAGAGGAGTAACAAAGTGGCTGTTGACTTCAGGTATTATTCAGGTTTTAGGTCACAAATCCCAGTTTTGCCATGGTAATGGTACCAAATAAAATAATTTTATATATTGAACTACCAAGATATAAAAGCTTTGAAGGAAAACTTGCCTCTAAAATGACTTACCATTATCATTGCTACAAATATATGAATCACATTTGTCCAAGTTGGAGAGTGAGAATATCAAGGTTAAAGCAGAAACTTTGATGAGGTATACATTAGACCTCATAAAAATCTCCTAACACAACATATTTTAAAGCTTACGGTTTTCTTTAATATTAAAACAGAGAAGGCAACACCCACACAACTCTTTGTATATATGCTGGTGCCTGCATGGGACCTTCACCCCTATGTTCTAGTGTCTTTGATATACAAAGGTACTCTTCAGACTACCAAAAGAGAAACGTAAACAACATTCCAGGCACAAAACCTTTGCTTACAATCTGTCTTGCCTTCAAAATATGCTAGGACAGCAGCATCACAAAGCTTGTGGGAGTCACCCACCTGCTTTGACTAAATGCCCGCTTCATGAGATGGAACCCATACCTGATACTACTTAAGTGACCAAGAACCAGAGACTAGATAGCACAGAGAATTTGGGTAAAATCAATTATTACCCACCTAAATACAATAAAATAACAATAAAATGACTCCTAATATCATTCTGCTATAGTCATAGATCAGTGCCTTACTCAGTCAGCATCAGAGAAGCTTCCTCCTACAGCAGATGGGAACAAATACAAAGACCCACATCCAGCCATTATGCAAAGAGTGAGACCTCGGAACACATAGCTGGAAATAGTATGTCTCCATCAATCCACGCTCCCCAACCCCAGAGCTCAGAGAACTCTGTAGAAGAGGAATTGGAGGCAGAAAGAGTGTAAGAGCTGGAGGGGATGGAGGACACCAGATATGTCTGCATCAGGTCTTCTGCATATATATTATCGCTTTCAGTTTAGCACTTACATGTGACTTCTGAATGTGTGAACAGTGGGTCTCTGACTCTTGTGACTTCTCTTGGGGCTCTTGGTTTTTGCTGGTTTGCCTTGTTTATCTTTGATGAGATAGTTTTTGCTTTATCTTATGGTTTATTTTGTTATGTGTGGTTGCTATCTCTTAGAAGCCCGTTCTTGTCTTTTTTTCTAATTAGAGCCAGAGAGGGAGTTGATCTGGATGGGAGGGGAGGTGGGGAGGAACTGGAAGGAGTAGAGGGAATGGAAACTCTGATCATGATATATTAAAAATATAGAAAAAAACAAAATCTCTCTCTCCTTCTCTCTCTCTCTCTCTCTCTCTCTCTCTCTCTCTCTCTCTCTCTCACACACACACACACACACAAACATGCACACACTAAAATAGTGTATTTTAAAGGTCTTGTTCATAGACAATAATTATTCTGCTGGTTGTTTTGTTGCTCTTTGAATTGATGGATACGTTTGGTATTTTATGAATAAACACTTTTTTACTTTATGGTTTTATCTAGCTCTATGTCAAGTCTGAATATAAAATGTATAGTATTAGTGAACTATTGGACAACTGCATCATATTAGAGAATGTTCCCTCCATATTAGCCTTGTCACAGAACTAAATATGTATCTGTGTATTCCATACCAAGCAAAAATTAGTTTATGTCTATCTGTTTCTTTCCAATTATATTTATTTTGAAGAGAGTGGGGAGAGCACACTTGTGCCATGGTGCATTTATGAAGGCCAGAACACCTGTAAGAGTCTCTTGTTCCACCATGGGTGTTTCAGTGACTGAACCCAGAGCTTCAGGCTTGGCAGTAAGGGACTTTATCCGATGAGCCATCTGACTGAC